GAGAGAGAGAGAGAGAGGAGAGGGGAGGGAGAGGAGAGGGAGAGGAGACATAATACCACATTGGTCTACTTTCTACATATTTATTGACTTTATTTTCTAATGTTGATTCCTAAAATATTTTCTGTTTATTTTGTATTTATTCGGCTTTTATCAATGCAGTATATCTGTTCTATCCTGTTGTTACAGTGCATCTGAACTAAGGAGTGTGTGTGTGTGTGTGTGTGTGTGTGTGTGTGTGTGTGTGTGTGTGTGTGTGTGTGTGTGTGTGTTGCATATTTTGGATGAAATGTTGAGATCACTATTCTTTATTTACATCTCACAAACTGACACACACTCTCCTGTTGTACAATAGCCTACAGAATTTGGCATCCTTAACTCCTCACAAGCTAAAACAGGTTTTGAGTGTCTCTTCTTCTGTTCACAGTGGATGATGGTACCGGTGTGATAAACTGCCTATGTTGGAAAAATGACTTGTTCAAAGAAGAGGAAAATTCTTTGAAATGTGAGTTTGATTTATGAATCTCAGTAATGCTTGTTTTGCTTTGTATTAGACTTCTAATGAAGCAGAAGTACACTAAAGTTGCCAAATCACTGCACATTGACTTCCAAAATAAATGGATTAATGTACTGATTTTCATTTACATAATATCTGTAAATGTTGTCTCTATTTTGACCATGCTGCTTATCTCTCCATGAGAGTTAATTACAGATGTACCTCAATGTTGCAAATGACACACACAGAGTATATTATCTGTAGCCAGTATACCTTTTTTTACTTTGGATTTTTAGATTTGCCTACAGCTGTTACGTCAGAGCGTGTATTAAACATAGGGCAAATCTTCCATTTAAAAGACAATATAAAAAGCAACACTATGAATATTACTTAACTATTGTCAGTATTAGTAAATGTAGTTTTATAACTGTATACGAGTTGTCTTAAAGGTACTCTTTAGAGCAGGGCTGTCCATTATAGTTCATGGGTCATAGTCATTGACCAAAGGCTGGACCAGCAAAATCATAGCTTAAAAACATGTAAATATCCCCAACTCCAAATGTTTCCCTTTCTTTTAGTGTCAAGTACATTTGGAAAATATTCTCATTAAATAAATGTAAAAAGCAGATCATTAACAGTTGGAGATTCATTGAAATGACCTATTTTACATTACTACCTTTAGTTTAACTACATTTCAACTATTCCTTTATAAATTACACTTATTTATTAATACAAACCACCGTGTAATATCATAATATCCTATACTAATTTCCCCTCATCTCCAGCAGGGGTAAAACCCAGTGACGGGGGCTTTAACCCGGTGAGTGAGCTGAAGAAGCTGAGGCAGGCGCAGCAGAGCCGCTGCCGGCTGGAGATCGGAGAGCTGCTCCGGGTCAGAGGACCGGTGAAGACGTCCAGACAACAGAGAGAAATCATGGCCAACTGCTTCTGTGAGTGCACAGGACTGCCATCTGCTATTTGTTATCAGAAATGTACTCATCAGCGATAATACTCAAACTTATTATGTATGTATAAATATTTGTATTAATTGGTTTTAATATTATTTTTTATTAGATATTTTACTTTAACTTTATGTTTATATAAATATTTTTATTTTTATTTCTTAATATATTTTGTTAAATATAAACATATTCCTTTTTATTTCCAATTTAATAAGATATTTTATTCCAGGTTTTTAAAATAAAAATAAAAACCTGGAATTAACCTTTTATGTTTTTATAAATACTGTAATTTTCGGACTATAAACCGCGACTTTTCCCCCATTTTTCGACGCTGCGGTTTATATAGCGGTGCGGCTAATCTATGGATTTTTACAGCTAACGGCCACCACCTTTAACTCTGTGGGCTCTATGGCCGGTCCGCGGACCCCGACCTTTAAGCGGCGGGTTCCAGCAGGAAAAGCTGGAGGCCGGAAAAGAGTGAGACAGGTAGCGCGCAAAAGTAAAAGTGGTACCGAGAGTGGTATGCCGCTGCTGCGGCTTATATTCAGGTGCGCCTTATAGTCCGAAAATTACGGTATATACATTTTATTAGAGATGATCCGATCACGTGATCGGGGATCGGAGCCGATCATATTTTTATTATTTTATTTAATGTTACAAAACAAAAATTACCATGTTCACGTCTTAAAGTCATCCTGAGGCCTTAGTTTTGGTTTAAAATTACACAACATCATGTACAGTATGTGTTGCTTCTTTTGGGCTTGTTTTCATAGACCTGGTTGCTTATTTCTCTCAAATCTGGCAACAGAGTGGGCAGGGCGCAGTGTCTAATAGTAGCAGTAAGCTAACGAGAGGCTACGTTCAGCTGGTGACTCGGGAATCGGGACAGAGAAAATGTCAGGAGTTTGGAAGTATTATAACATTGAAAGCGAAGGCAGTGTAACAGGCAGATGCAATGTTTTGCAAAGGCGGAGGTTTACCGCGTGGAAAGAACAGAGCTACGTTCAACAGTACCAATCTAATACGCCACCTGAGAACAAACACCAACAACAACATAGCTGAAAATCATCGCGTTGGATGACCAGCCTTTATCTGTTACCTTTTTTTTCTCTTAATGCATTGCATAAAGATCGGATCGGGAAAAATCAATATCGGCAGATTGTCAAAATCAAATTATCGGAATCGGATCGGGAGCAAAAAAAGGTGATCGGGACATCCCTACATTTTATTATATTCCACATTCTTACTTTAACTTGTTATGTATATATAAGTATCCTATCTTATTTAATTTATTTTAATAAGAATCAGAATACCTTTATTCGGGGACATTTACAATAGTTACAGCAAAGAGCCAAAGACAGCTTAATATCTCTCAGCAAGCATGTATAAGAAAGAAATATGAATATAAAAAAAATAATAATTACACAATATAAAAAAATTCACATCCAGTAAAAGTTCAGTGATATAGCAGCCAGGTGAAAGTATGTACACATTCTGATTCTGATTAGAATAAGACTACCAATGGCCTTAAATACCAACATTTAACCATTGTATCAGAAACTACACATGCTGAAACATGAACATGCATTCTCACAGTGACCCACACACTCTGAAAGTGCCTTGCAAGGACTTTCTTTATCCTATCACTGTGGTCTTGTTTAATGATGCCTTACACGCGTCTCTCTTTCTTACACAAACACACACAGTGCACATTCTTTATTTGAGAGTACACACCATTCATCACGTGTGTCTATCTGTGTGTGTGTTCCCAGATAAAGTGAACGACCCAGTGATGGCGGTCCAGATAGCGTGGATAATGGAGGTTCCTCAGCTCTACAGGCAGTGTTATGACAAACCACTTCAGCTGCAACCTACAGCAACCGGGTACGAGCATCCATCCCTTATATTGCACCATCACAGCATATTACATCACTGGTGCCAGGATTCCATTCAATTATTGAACATTTGACCACATTTCTAGAAAAATGTCAAAAGGAATGACTATTACCATATTTCTATTCACATTTAATGAGAATTAACTCTCGGTTCAGCAAGAAGGGAAGAAGGGGAGAGTACGATATCTGCTCCTTACACATCTACACACTAAATAAACCAACAAATTGACAGAGACTCTGGTTTTAAAAATGAAGGTATTGCTTCTGCCAAAAAAAACATTGGCTCTTCCGCTCGAACCAATGGCTGTATCTGCAACAACTGCAGCATAACTTAAATGATGGCAGCACTGATGGAGGTTTTCTGTAACTGTCCAAGTCTCTTCACCTTTTTTTAAACACTGACACAGTTCACACCATGTTCCTGTTTAATTCCTGCCTCTCTTCTTCTGCTGTTCCTTTTAGTTTTTATTTCTCTGACGTCACTCTACTATTGCGTTTAACAGAAAGCTGTTTTAGGTGATTAACTATAAAAATCACTACACACTTGGGCTGTGCAATTAATTGAATTATATCAACGTTGCAATATGGACTAATGCAGCATTTAAATTGTAGGTATGTGTTCAAATATAATTTAAAAAATGGTGTTGTGTATATATACAGTATCCCAAATCTGTTTGGTTCATATCCTCTTAGAAAAATACCCTTCATAAATGTTGTAATGAGAGACATAAGAAGAGACATTCTGTCTTTGTTCTTGTCTCAAGAAGGTCTTTCATAATGACAATTATGATAACACAATTATCAATCCATCCATTATTGCGCATCATATTGCAATTGCAACACCAGTCAAAATACTAGCAATTCATTGTTTTTTTGAACACACACTGGCTGCTTCATTTAGCATGTAGCGTTTCTTAGATGTAAATTGTGCACACCAATCATACTTACCTTACAACAGAAAAAAGACTAGCAATGACGCACATGTGAAGACACTGAGAGTTTTGTGGGCTTAAACATAATACAAGTGTTGCCCTTTAAAAGGTTGCAAAAGCAAAGCACATTAAACATCCCAACAATAGATTGCACTAAGGTATAATTCATATGTACATTTTATTAGAAAAACAAAAATAAATCAAATACATAGTTTTCTAAAGAAATTGTAACTAGTTATCGGAGTTTGATTTGACTCGAGGACTATCAGTTATCTGTAGATAGATATACATTAAAGTGTAAGGCCCTGACACACCAAGCCGATTTCGGCCGCCGATAGATGTCTGGCCGCCCATGAGCGTCTTGTCGCCCTACTCAGATTGGTGTGTCCTGCCCCGTCGTGTCTTTTCGGCCGTGCCGACACCTTCCGCTGCCGATTGACCAAGTTGCAGCGGAGGCTGTCGGCAAAATAAATCACTCTGATTCATCCGCTGAGCAAATCAGTGCATGATAAGCAAAACAGAATTTAGGTACGCAAAC